TGCTAGCTGTGGAAACAATTTACAGTATAAACCCAGAGATTTCAAATAGGAATCTGTATCATTAAAAACATTCTGACCTGGTGTTGTCTTTCTGAATTCTTTGCAACAGAAAAATTGCTTTACTATTTACAGTAGTCAAAAAAGGAGATAAAATGAAGAACTGGCATTCTTCAAGGGGTACCCTGAGTCTTACCAGGTTGAAAATTGAAAAAAAATCTACAGGCAAATTTTTATATCTTTACTGAAGCCAGGTGAGATTTCCAAGAGTTATATTTTTACATATACCCACAGGCACTGTTGGATCTGATTATACTTGCTGAAATGTTATAAAATCAGCTCGGTCTGTCAACATTATTTCCACATTTTTAAGAACAACAGCTGATTAGATGAACACCTTGCTGGGGTCATTTGACCCCAGTTCTCTTTCCTGACATGGCAGGGGGTCAGACTTGATGATCTGCTCAGGCCCCTTCTGATCTTACCAACTGTGAAACTATGAAACTATGATTTTATAAATAGATTTTTATGTTATGTGAGCTTGTGCAGGTAAAGGACTAAAGTTTCCTTGAAAGCTTTACGAGTTAGACTTTGAAACATGGCCTTGTTAAGATTAATGTTTAAAGGAGATTAGGAGAAGTATGTCACATAACAATATTACATATAACACTATGCAGGCCTGGAAAATGAAATACCTCTCACATCTAAAATATAGTTCTTCCAAGGGCAAGGGATTGGAGTTGGAGTAGCAGTGTGAAAATTCTTGATAACTAATTCCTGAACCAAGTTTATAATGCAACAGAGAGCTTATTTTCCATGACTAGTAACCAATTAGTCCCTATAAGAATATTCTACTCTGTTTAACAAACAGTCTGTATTACTAAGAATAATAAAGTGAGATTTTATACTTACTCAAACAGGAGAAAGTGTGGACTCTAACTTTCTCAGTATAATATTGTAAGAGGCAAGAATGTTTTTGAGTGCATCTTTTACTGGACCAACTGCATGGTTGTGATAGACAAGATTTTGAATGCAAGTCAATATAACATACCCATTTGAAAAGTTATCTCAGTGGCCGCGTCTGTACGAGATGCTGACTGGCCAGTTGTTACTGCACAGTCATTTAGTACATGCATAACCAAGTACTAAATAACTGAGCAGTAACCAGCATTACTGTGCAGCAGCATCCTGGCACAGCTGCCTAGTGATGCTTATTGCGCAGCAGCTTATTACTACTGTACAGTAGCATCGTGTCATGGTTCGTGCCCAGCCATGCTGCTGCTGCGTAGTAATGAGTCAGTATGTTTCACAGCTCCAGGTTTTCTTGTGTAAATTAAAGGGAAGTAAGCTATGACAGCTCAGTTATAGCACATAAAAAATGTGAGTCTGTTTATACATGGGATTTAGTTTTTCATGTTTCACTTGTTATATATAACATTTTAAAACTCTTCTGTAAGTATCTTTAGGAACAAATGTTAATGTTCCTCAAATACTGTACCTTCAAGAACTCGGGTGAACATAATTTTAGATATAAAGGGCACATCTACATGAGACACTATGGCGCAGTAGCATTGCTGGGCACTAGCTGTGCAATGGCTGTACTGGGCAGTAGTGAGCACAGTAGCTCATTGCTCCTATGCAGGAGCATTGGGAAAAAACGTGTGGTGACAGTACTGCACAGTAACACCGGTTACTGCGCAGTCATTTAGTATGTGGAACTGCACAGTCCACCGCTCATGTAAATGTGGCCAACTGACAGTTATATTGAAGGAAGCTAACTGTGGCCCATCAGGAATATAAAGCCATTTGCTATTATTATGGACAGTTAACACTTTAGGTTTTATTGTGAAATATGCACAGAGAAGGAGTATTTGGACTTTTAGTAGTGCCTGTTTGTCTCTCCTTTTTGTCTAGACCAGCATGTTTAATGTACCATTATTTTACTTTAAGTATCTACTGTGAAACAAATATTGAATGTGTTTGTTCCCATAGTGAAACGAAGTCCAGCATATATATTTTCTTACACTCAGTAGATTAAAGATGCTTTGCTCTGTGTTATACAAAACTATCAGCCAAATGTGAAAAAGTCTATTGTACTACCTTGAACCTGTAAACTATAGTAAAACTTATACTCATGCAGTGTTATGTATGAAATTTTAATGGCACAGCAGTCCGGCCTTTTGGATACTCAGTACAAAATAATTAACCATTAGTAGGACTGAAGTTATTCCCAATTTACATTGATATTAATGAGAGTGTAAAGGGGCTCTGCTCACTGTAGGATGGAACATTTTCTCCATATATGTTTACAGAAGAGATTCTGGTAATATATCTGCTTGTCAAGAAGTGGAAGTGGTTGGATGCCAATCTCCTCTGTAGTATTACCTTTCATCTATGTAAACCCACACATTACTAAGGGTTGGCACAGAGGGCTTTCAGGTGTGGTAGGTACTGGAAAACAGAAGCTCACTCTGCAGCACAATCTCCTGTCTAGTCCCTGTTTTCCTATGTGGACATCTACGTAGGGGTGACACAGATCACATTCACATTAACTCCCTTTGATTTTCTGCTGATGCTAGTGAATTTCAGGGGCCAGTCATTGGTAGCAGTGCTATCAAAGGAAGACAGAGGCCAGTTAATCAAAACAGGAAGGAGTGCCACCAGTGCAGACAACTTTTGTCTCCATGGGATCCCTTGTCCATGACATTCTTTCTCTGTGGATTCATTACAAGAAGCCACAGGAGTGAGAAGCCCTCACCATGGCTGACACCATGGAACCCTAAAATAGAAAGGAGGAGATGCCACTCTGAGCTTACCTTCAAATTTCTTCTTGGGAGGGGATAATCTTAGTTATTTTCCAAATCAAATTTCTCCAACTAAGGCTGATTGCATAGTTTTCATATAAAAGTATCTAAGCATGCAAAAATCTGATACTTTAACACAGCAGTATATTTAATAACTGAAGCTCAATTCTAACAAATCTAAAATTCTTTCCATAGTCCTATCCCTATGTTTCAAGTAATCAAACACAGCTTAATACATTCTTATGGAGCTTTCTGACAAAAATTAATTTCTTGGTTGACACTAAGTATGAGAAATTTCAGCTCCCAGAACAATGATTTTCAGATATTTATGAGAAGTACAAAGCACAGCTCAGAACTGAAGCTTCATTTGATTAACTACTAATGAGGCAGTAAGTCCACCCTATACTGCAATATTTTAGTGCAACTGATGTCCCATGTATGTGACTCAGTCAGGTAGGTCTGAATACCCAACAGTTGCTGACTTAAAGGGAAATTCCAAGCACAGAGCCCTTCAGCATGTGGAAATATTAATACAAATAAAACTACAGTACTAAAACATAGTACACAGAAAGAGTTAGGCATCTAGGAATGGGACTCACAATAGATAACATGCTGTCTGAGTGGACCCTTCAAAGAGGCAATAAGAAAGACTAAAGAGGGTGTGTGCTGAAATCCTACCCATATCTGGGACAGAGGTACCTCCCTGCAGCGCTCACTGAGATACTTTTGTAAAATCAGGATTCCCAGCTGAAAACTTTCTCCCAGACATAAGCGCCTAAATAGTCCTAACTGTATTTTAAAAATAGAAGACTCAATCATTTTTTTAAACACATGCTCAGTGAGTTTCCTAGACATTAGCACACACAGCCAGGAAGCAGACGACCTGGTATCTATGCCCTTTGCAGTTTGATGGGTTCACCCACACAACCCACCTCCTGGAGTATCCTAACTCCTAGGCTAAGGGCAAGAAACCAGTCTTGTGCACCTGGATTGTGCACAGAGACAGGGAGGTACTCTCTACCGTTCTGTTGAAGCTGAGTCTCTGTACAGCAAGGAACAGAAAACTGATGAAGCCAGAAAGAGAGAAAAAGTGGGAGAATGACGGTATAGCCAACCTCCCGAAGGTTTACACAATTAAGAACTAAAAATGCATTGAAAATGAAGTCCCCTTTTAGCCTTTGAAATAGCAACACTGATCAGTCTTAAAGCACACATTCATGGAGAAACAGATAACTGATGTGGTCTCAGTACATGTTTTCTGTTGTTGCAAGAATTTCATTACTGTATCTAATTCAGCATGATTTATGAGTAATTAGTGTTTTTTTCAAAGTAAAAGACAAAAATGTAACATGATTTATACGCGAAAATAAAGCTTGTGGCTTTTTTTCTATTTCAAGTTAAAATATGCATTAGGGCTGTGCGAGGCTTTGGTCGCTGATTCAAGGAAATTTGGCTCGATTCGGTAGCTGAATCTCCAAATCCAAACTGAATCAGGAGACCCTTTAATTTCTCCAAATCAAACTGGAACCCTCTGAATCGATTCTGAAAGATTTGATGATTCGGACATAGACACAGCTTTAAATGTTTTTTCTACATACCTCAAGGTACCAGGTGGCTCATGAATGCTGAGACACTGGGGTGGAGGGAGCATCCCACAGGAGCGCTGGGGGGGGTCCCCAGCGCACTCTGCCGCAGACCTGGAAATGGACCAGAAGCACTTTTGGTCCACTTCTGAGTCTGTTGGGGAGTGCACAGGGTTAATCTCATATCCCCCTGGCTAGGCGACTGGTGCCTCCTGGGTTTGGGGGGGCACCCCGTGGCCGATTGCCAAGCTGGGTTGCACAGTGGTGCTGCCAGGTCACTGCCAAACTCACCGGGGGGGGGGAGCTCCTGTGGGACGCTCCATCCACCCCGGCATCACAGTGTTCATGAGCCACACCCAGTAGCTCGAGGTATGTAGAAAAAACATTTAAAGCTGTGTCTATGGCCAAATTGCTGATTCAGCATCGAATCTTCAGATTCGGATTTGGCTGAATTGAATTGGGGCAGCGATCTGAATCAAATCACTGTCCCCAATTCGGGCTGAATTGGGATTGAATACAGCCCGTTTCGCACACCCCTAATATGCATGTAATTCTTAGGGTTAATGTCTGTACTTAGAATAGTTTATAACCCATAAAGTAATCATTCAGTAAATACCTGCTTCATGAATTTCTTCTTGTCCAGTGTATGAAGAAAACACCTGCCCAGAGAACTTATATTGTTGCTTTCTAAAGTTGTTTTGTAGGTAATCCATAAGCATGACATAGCCAGACTGCTGCATTGTAAGGACTTCACAAAATACAGCCAACTAAAGGAAAAAAAGGGTAATTCCTATAAAAAGTCTGGAAAATTAGCTAGAGTCTGAACTAAACTATAACCTTAAGCAAAGGGTGGTACCTAAACTGTCCCAGAGTAGTAGTAATTCCAGGAGGCATTGCAATTCAGAGATATACCTCTAGGTTACAATTATGCCAGTGCTTCCTTCTTGCCTTACAGGCTGGTAGTTTACTGAAGCCCTCCATGACTAGTAAATTATTAGTTTTCCTATGCCAACTCAACTATCTCCCTGATGGAGCCAAAGCTCTGCTCATTCTCTATCCTCTTACTAAGAGGAACATTCAAGCAGCTTTTCCTATTCTGCTATACCATGGCTGAGGCTTTAGATAGTTTAGAGGTATAGGACATGTTTTTACTCCCTGGCACACACTCAGAATACAGTCCTTAACTAAAAAAAATGTTAACACAAACAGGTTTTTAATTGCTGCATGTACAAGTGAAAAGCTGGATAAATGAAGCACTAGGCTGTGAAGGCTGGAAATCAATGCCATGCACTTTTATCATATACATGAAAATTCATTTTCTTTGAACATAAGAATAATTATTCCTTTTGCATGGGTTAAATGAATTACCTGGCTTTCAGAAATTCCTATGGTATCTTTAAACACAATCCATTCAACTGTCTCTGAGCAGGGAGGAGTTGACAATGATCCATTATAAGTATAATATTTGTCTGTTGAATTCGGCAAAAGGTTCAGCAAAACAAATGGCTCTAAAGCAGCCTGTTTTCCTGAAAAATATTATTTATATTCAGATTGATAAAAAATTAAATAAAAGATTAATAAAACAAACATGGAGCTTCCAAATTAGATAAGCTTTGAGTAAGGATGTTTTAAAAACGAAAGACTGGACCCTTTGCACTCAACTTTAAACACAGATCCTATAATAAGAATTATTCTTGTTCAGCAGAAGAATCTAAAGAGCCACAGTGGAAAATTGAGGTTGAATAAAAAATTCAGGTCTCATGTTCAACAGCGTGCTTAGAGAAACAATATAATGGACCTGGTCCCATAAAATATTGCATGTTTAACATGTACTAAACTCATAGGCTAGGAACAGAAATTAGACATAAATAGGTTTAAGTGATCAGAAACTAGTCCATATCTCTGTCACAACGGAAGTTCAGTACACATAAACCGCTTTCATAATAGCCAAAACTGTTTTATGATAAACCTGGATGGATGCAGTATCAGACTTAACTGATTTAGGTTAAATAGGTTTATTGAACTTCTGTCCCAGATCTCCACAATATTCAAGTTAACATAAAGTCCCCTAGCATCCTAGGGTGCTTTCCACATCCTCTACAAACCCTTCCTTCATAGGGTGAGCAGGCTAACCTTGACCCAAGCCATCTGCTCCAGTTGACCAGGGAAGTATTCTCTAGCATCCCCTGGCTTCTGGCCTGGGCCACTGCAGGCATGTGGCTGCATTTCCGGAATCAAAAGGGAATGTCTGTTCACTTGCTTATCCGTTCAATCTATGCAGCTTAGACTAACCTGCAAAGATTTAATTGATTCAGCCTCAGGCTTTTTGACTGTTTGTACTTAGCCCTAGTCAGGGTTGTTCACTATCTCAACAAGTCTTACCCTGTGTAAGGAAAAGAGGATACTGAAAAGGGTGTATGGCTTGACTTGAGTCTGGGGAAGCATTACATTTTTAATATAAAGAGGCAAGGGTGATATTCTTAGGGTGGTATCTTCTAAGTTGGGATAGAGTTAGACAAGCTTTCAAAAGCAAGACGTTCTTTATCAGGTCAAACATTTTAATACACACACTGCATTTCATCTAGCCTAGAGAAGAATCCTTTCTGGGGAGCAAACTTGTTTGAGATAGTAAATGGGAAGGGCAGCTTGAAGAACACTGTTCCACAAGAAGGAGGTGAAGATCACCTTGTGAACAACATCCCCCTTTTGCATACATCTATATCAAAGACTGGGACAGAGAGGAGGAACATTCCAGTTCATTTGAATGTTCTGGGATCCTGTGGAAAATGGACATAATCCAGTAACATAAATAGGGAGACACACAAATATTTGGTAGATTATTATATGACCCAGTACGTTGATAAATTAGGGGCCTGGGTAAGGAAGAGCTTATTTAGAGTCAATCCAGAGAAGTGTGATGTGTGTTTATGACAGCAACAGGAAACTGCAAGAGGAACTATCAGAAATTATACCGATTTCTTCCAACTGGAGAATTTGACAGCTTTGGGAAAACAAGCACTTCTATGGACTAATGTCTGTGTGGATTCAAAATACCACTAGTCCTTTTTGATGCTATACTGGATAAAATTTAACCCATATCTATTTAATTCATTGTGTGTCATTATTACTATCTTCAGTACAGCATTTAAAAACTTCCCCTTCTCAACAAATATAAATTCATAATTATTTCTGCTACTATACATTAGCTTTCAGTTTTATAGTTACATCTCTCTTTGATTTTCATTAAAATTTTGTTACAAACTGAACATATTATTCCATATACTTGAAAAAAGTTATATGTATCCAGTTTGTGCCTCAAGCTCTTCTTTCTTTTTTCAAATATTAATTTGTGGAAGTACAACAAGTTTGTTATACAATTTGTATGTGTGTATGGTTTTTTTTTTAACAACAATCGATCAAATCCAGCTTTGTGAGTTTAATGGTTCACAACTGTGTCACTAACATTTACATATGAATTCAAAAGCAGAATTTGCCCTAACCAATAAAAATGCTAGAAGAAAAACTCACCAAAACGACTAACACTGTCTACTCCTTTAATGATTGCTTCATAATCCAGATTATCTTCAGGAACAATCTGTTAAAGAGAGATTGAATAATTTATTTTAAAATTGTGATTCACAAAAGAACTGAAAGTTATAATTTACTTCAAATGACTACAGATGATTCAAAGATCAACCAAACACATCTGACAAATGTCTTTTTCGTTGAAATGAAATGATAAAGATATACACATTAGAGGTGCACTGATACATTGGTCCCATATTGGATTGGCACCGATATAAGGAAAATTGACAGCATCAGCAATTGGCTTTTTTGGCTGATGTGAACAATAATGTTGCCAATAAATGCCCCTTGCAAGCATGCAGCTGCAGCGCAGCATTCAGGCAGCCAGGAGCACAGTCTGGCAGCATGGAGAGCAGCTGAGTCTGACTGGTAAGTCTGTTGTGAGAGAAGGGACATGTTGGGAGGGGAGCAGATTAAGGCCCTAGTGATGAGGGAGGGAGAGGGGCTGTGGCGGGGCAGGCCCTGCACAGCCAGGACAGGGTGCAGAATGGAGCTCTGTGAGTGGCTCACCCAGGGGGTCCAGGGTGGAGTGCGGCTCCTGCTGCTGTATGCACCCTGGGAGGGCATGGGGAGCATGTTCCCTCAGATCTGCACATGGGGCAAGGGTGGGCTGTGCTGAGGGCTGGGGGTGGTGCTAGGCTCTTCCTGTCGGGGGGGGAGGGGCGGGCTGGGCCAGGGCTGCACACGGGGTGGGCGGCAGCGGCTCTGGGAGCCGGCCCCCCCCCCCCCCCCCCCCCCCGTAACTCCTCTCCCAGAACCGCTGCCACCTGCCCCGAGCACAGCCCTGGCCTAGGCCCCTGGTGGGAAGAGCCTCGCACCACACCCAGCCCCAGCCCTCAGTGGCAGCTTGCATTCACCCATTTGCAGATCCAAGGGCACCCCGCCACCTCTCCCATGCTCTTCTGGGGTGCCGCCCCGGGGTCCCTGGACAAGCTACTCATGGCTCTGTCCTGTGCCCTGCCGCACCACAGTTGTACAGTGCCTGCCATTGCCCCAGCCCCACTCCCTCCCTCACCATGGGCACCTTCCCTCCCCCTCATCCGTTCCCCCACAGCAGATTTATCAGCCCAATACTGCTCTCCATGCGGCCAGGCCTCATATCAGCAATTGGATAGGTATTGGCTGGTACGGCTTGTTAAAAGTCAGCCATTGGTATCGGCCCAAAAAAATCTCTATCAGTTCACCCCTAATAAACACATTTTAATGCAATTTATCATGCAAAAGAACTAGTTAGCTTGATTTTGGATATTTGCTATAACTCAAAGCAAAGTTAGTGTCATAGGAATAAAAAATGTTTACCTTAAACAAAATTGATAAAGCTCTTAACTTCCCACTTCTTTTAACTGCTTCCTCAAAATTTGTAAATTCATCTCCATTGTAGCAGTAGATTTGCATCTGTAAATATAATTATACATGCAAATATATATGATATAGAAAAAAAAATGTATTTGACAGAATATAACCAGAGATTTTATTTCAGAGATTTTTACTTTGAAAAAAAGTCTTAAAACAGTAACAAATTGTAATTCTAATAAATGAACCTGTTGTATATCTGTAATCCGTTTCTGTAGCCTGGTCCTGGTCCTGTCTGGCCTGGCCTGAAAAAAATTTCCCTTGTCTTCATCATGGCAGGATTTCACAATTTCTATTTTCCTCAGACTACAAGCAGAGGTGTCCTAGCTATTCCACAGCTGGAGTTTTGTAGCTTAGCTAGGCTCTGCATCCTCAGATCCCTCCTCTGATTCAGTGTCTGGAAACCTTCTACCTCAGGGCAGAGTTTGTCACTCCCCTTTTCTTCCACAGGTTATCAGAGGGGAGACTGCTCTCAGACATCTTGGTGGGATAAATGACAGAGGGTGGAAGGTTGAGTAGAACTTCTAAATTGGTCTTGCAGCTAGGAAGACTGGTTGGACTACACTGCTGAGAGTACTCCTAAATAATAGCTTCCCATGGGAAGAGAGAAAGGTCCTCACCAATAGCCCCTGTCCAGTGCTTGTATTTTTTATATACTTTATAAAATAAGCCCCTATGAATCTACCGTAACTTTCAGGAATTTTATCACTAGTGGGAGTTTGGCTCATGTTAGATTGTAGGGCTAGACTATTATTTGATACCAAATGTTGTGTCCATGTCTCTTGAACAACTCTGAATTTTGAAAAATCATATTTTAATTTTAGAATAGCAAACTAAATAAAATTGTATAGTGGAGACTCGATTCAGAGGCTACTGAAATGAATGAGAAATCCTAGATGCTTTAAATCAAGTCCTAAGTCATTTTTTAAAAATATACAAAAAATCTGTTAAATTGGAACATGGATCATTTTCACACCATGTGTACCACAATCATACTATAAAGTAACATCTTAAACAAGTAATTTTATTACTTACAGGAATATACAGTATCAGAATTTATTATAATTGTTACCTCAAGAGGAAACTTTTGTCCTTCTAAACTATGTTCAGATCCATTTGATGATCTATTGCATTTTCCCCAATGAAAAGTGATCTTGCTTGCTTTAAATACTGTATCTAAGCCACCTCCACTGACATAATAATCATTTGTCAGATTAATTTCCACTAAAGAGACAAAAAAGAATGGTCAATGGACATGTGCAAGCATTTATGATTCAAACATACAAGAATTAGGGACTAAAAGGTAAACATTAAGAAAACATATTGCAGAGCCAAGAACAGAACCTAGGAATAATGAAATGACACTAAGGAAAAGACATTTAGGCTAGACAACAGAAAGCATTTCCTAAGAGTGAAAGCCTGTAATGTTGTGGAATAGTATTCCAAAGAAAATAGAAGTAGTTCTCTCATTGGAGACTGTTGTAAAGAGATTTTTAGTCTATGTTCTATATCTGGAACAGCAATACTCTTTTCCCCTCCACCCCCAAGACACACTGTTGCTCCTCAGCAAGATAGAAACAACTTTTGGTCATTACTATACCAGATTCAAATAGCAAAATGAGATGACGGTTCTATACACACAGCTGGTCCCATGATCTACTTATTGGTGAGTGGGTAAATTATTCATGATAACTTTGAAAAGTCATTTTTGTATGTTAATTGCATCCTGCAGACAGATATTATTAGTAATAATTATTATTTTGTGGTGACTGCTAAATTATTATTTAGCTTTAATAAGTACTTATTATGGGATGACACTAATGTTATGATTGCTCTGGCTATATCTTTCTATGCCCATAATTTTCATTTATATTTTTTATTTTTGTGGCTTTTCCATTACACTTGGCGGCTATCACCACCTGGATTTTCTCTATTTGCTAAAATCCAAAAATTCAAAACTGAAAAAAAAAAAAAAATAAACATTACTGAAAAACCTCAGGAACCCATCAGTGATATTTCATTTTCTTGACCCTCTATTAAACTGAAACATAAATTTTGACATGTTACCAGTTTTGCCAGTATTGTGAATGTAAGTATCTCCCAAAGATTCCTTTTCCCAGCCATGGAATTGAAGTTTCTTCAGATTTACATTTACTTGAGTAAGGTCTTCATCAATATTAATAGGAGACTGTTTACCATCATTGCATGCTGGATATTTCTTCCACCAATTATTTTGGTCCAAAGTTCCTAAAAATAAAAACACAATTGGTAAATATTTAATTGCAAGATAATATTTCTAACTTTTACATGTAGAAAAGGGAAAATACAGAATGTCATGGGCTGCCAGAAAATTTGCAATTCTCAGCCTTCATTTGCACCTTAGCAACCAATATATATGACCTACATCCTCAATTCTAGATATCACAATTTTTAACTATCAAAAAATAATAAAAGATATTGCTTCTACCACAAGAGTTCAGACTGCGATCATCACCTGCTGGATTTCACTATCCAACGCAGGGCATCTAGGGCTCACACCAAGGCTAAAGGCCTTGACTTCAGAAGGGCCAACTTCAATGAGCTTAGGAGACTAGTGGGGGAGGCACTAAGGGCCCAGAAGGTAGAGGAGATGGGAGTCCATGAGGGATGGTCGTACCTTAAGGGGGCAATCCTCCAGGCCCAAAGGGTAACAGTCCCTGAGAGAAGCAAGGCGGGTAAGAGTGCTCAGGGACCCACTTGGCTCAGCAAGGGCATTCAGCAATGCCTGAGGACTAAGAGGGAGGCGTACAACCAGTGGAAGGCAGGAACTATCACCAAGGAGGAGTACTCCTCCTCGGCCCAGGAGTGTAGAAGGGCTATTAGGAAGGCCAAGGCAGAGATGGAACTCAGGCTAGTGTCCAGGATTAAGGACAACAAAAAGTCCTTTTTCAAGTACATTGGGAGCAAGAAGAGGGCACCAAACAATGTAGGGCCCCTGCAAGACACAAACGGTAATCTGGTGGCCA